TCTATATAAAAGAAAAAATAAAATAGTTTCACTAAATGTTTCAATTTCCAATTAAAATAATTGCATTTTTTTTTTTTTTTTTATTGAATTTCTTTAATTTTTTGAAAAAATTTTATTTATTATTTAAATTAAATTATTATTTTTATTTATTAATGGGGAGAGAGCGGTGAAATTTTTAAATTTGAAATTAACGTTGTTTAGGGGTGTTAATTTTTTTTCTTGCATTATTAGGGATCTAAAATTATTCAATTTTTTTTTGTTATTATCTAAAATTAAAAGAAAAAATTATCTTTAACCAGTTTAGAAATTTTATTTTTTGAAAAAATTCAAAATCCATATACGATTGATTGTTCAGAAACATGAAAAAAAGTGGACAAAAAATGGGGATTAAAAATAATACAAATTGGGTAAAAATTTAAATTTCCCCATTCCTTTCACGAAGCTGAAATACGCAACGTTTATGATAAACGATTTTTAAAAAAATAATTTTTTAAAATGAAAAATTCTATAATTTTTTGCGTAAAAAATATTTTTTGTATTTTTAATTAATCAACAAATTATAAAAAAAAATTTTAGGCAAAAAATTATAGAATTTTTCATTTTAAAAAATTATTTCTGTAAAAATCGTTTATCATAAACGTTGCGTACTTCAGCTTCGTATTCTTTTCTCATAATAAATTAATTTTTAAATTAATATTTAAATTAAAAAACCACTGCCATGAAAAAAATGTATTTGATCTAAATAATCGGTTACATGACTATTATCAAATAAATATTTACTTGAACCAAATAATTTTTATTTGAACCAATAATTTCTGTATTTAAAGCAAATATCATTTAATTGACTCAAATAAAAATTATTTTCTATAATCAAGTAACCGATTATTTGAATCAAATAAATTTTTTTTTCAGTGCACCAAAAGACATTTTTTAAAAATATTTTTTAATTATGAAACATTACTAATTTCGTAATATTTTATATAGTAAGAGATTTACAAATAGATAAATTGATTCGATTTTGAATATTCCCTAAGTTGATTAGGACAATTTCAAAATTTCATATTAAATTTTTTTTTTTAATAAAAAGTAAATAATTTCGGATAAAAAGTTATTAAAATATTCGACAATATAAATTTTAAAAAATTAATTTTGAACTTTAAAATATATAAAATTAAATGTAAAAAATATGTTAAAAATAATTTTTTTTTTAAATGTTTAAAAAATTTTAACGACTCTTTGATTTAAATCCTGATTTAAATATCTAAATGATCCTTTAATTTAAATTATGATTTAAATCAATACAGCCCTGATTAAGCCTTAGGGATTAATTAATTTTGTTAATTAATTAATTTGTTAATTACAAAAAAATTTTTTTGTGGGTTTAATTTGCATAATATTATAAATAAATTAATAAATATCGAGAATTATTGACAATCTATAACATGAATCGGATAAAAGCGTCAATCAAAGTTTGACAGAGAATTCAATAATTCATTTAATATATAGCTATGCACACAATGTCTGATAAGTTTATAATTTATTGAACGTCTATGATGCTTCAAAATCTAAACACAACCGTTTAAAATATCAATAGCTAGTTTTTTTAATAGGTTTTTTCACAAGTGGATTCAGGGTACTGGTTTAAAAATAAATATAGATGAACGATGGTTTTGATAATTGGAAAAATATAATTTTGCGACGGAAATTTACTTCTTGGAAAATTAACACTCCTCTCTGTGTATGTATGTATATATATAAGAGCCACCATTTTGGGAGGGAAGCCATTTTGGATAATATAGCCGGGAGTTAAACTGTCGACTTTACGCACCGATTGACTTAATTCTATTTTCGTCTCCCTTTCCTTCGTCCTGCCCCTCTTAGCTTTTAGTTTAATTAGATAAATATTAAATTATTGAAATACATGTATAAATTCAATTTTTTTTTTCGTGTCTGAAACAAATAATTATTCTTCTAGTGTTATTGAAAAATATTTTTCTAAATTGTAAAAGTATCTTAATTTTGTTTCTTTATTTTTTTGATACAAATTACATGCATCTATGACTATTGTTATATAATTATTAATTTTGAAATCGATTTTTTGTAAAATTATAGTTTAAAATTTTAATTAAAATGAAAAATGAGGTAATTTTTTTAACTTAACCATTATCAAAACAGGAATGGTAGACAATAACCTTGCAAAAACGTAAATTTTTAAAAAATCGTAATCTAACCTTGAACTTTAAGGTTATGTTCGTCTTTAAGCTATATTTTTAACATATGACATTGAATTTTAAGGTAATGTTTGTTTTTAACTTATGTTTTTGACATCACAGTAAACTATGAACAAAGCTGAAGTACGCAACGTTTATATAAACGATTTTAAAAGAAATAATTTTTTAAAATTAAAAATTCTATAATTTTTTGCCTAAAAAATATTTCTTGTAGTTTTTATTAATCAGCAAATTATAAAAAAATAATTTTTAGGCAAAAAATGATAGAATTTTTTATTTTAAAAAATTATTTCTTTAAAAATCGTTTATATAAACGTTGCGTACTTCAGCTTCGTAACTATGAGGTATTAAAAATTGTTGTAAATTAAATTCATATTATAAAAGATTATTTTTACTTTCTCATTAAAGAAGTATATTGTATTGATAAACAAAATTTTTTTTTCGATTTTTTAAAATTATTTCAAGGTTATTCTATCCGCATAATCCAGAGTTATTGAAAATTTAAAAATCAAAAAACTGAAAAAAATTACTTTTTTGAATTTTTTATTTGAAAATGTTTATTTAACTTTTAAAATATCAACAATAACTTATAGAATATTTAAAAACGCATCGATTGACATATTTTCAAATATTTTTTTACTTTTAAATTTTCTTTTGATTTTAAATATATTTGTTTTTTTTTTTTAAATATTTATTTTATAAATTCAAAATTGTTAAAAATGTTTTTTTTTAGTTCTAAATACGACCTCTTGGAACAATAAAGTATGATTTATTTTTGAATTTCATGAATAGAAACGTTTCTATAAGTCCAAGTTTCGAAAGTTTAGAAGTTTAATCTTTGAATGAATTATTTTCATCTTCTATAGATTAAAGCGTTGCATCTTATTTCAATCTATTTTGGTATTAAAATAATACTTCACAATTTACTGTGTATGTGACCTTGATTTTTGAGGTTATGTTCATTTTAACCTATGTTTTTGACATTTGACGTTGAATTTGGAGGTTATGTTCGTTTTCACCTATGTTTTTGACATTCGGTCTTTAGTTTTGAGGTTATGTTTATCTTTAATCTATGTTTTTGATATTTGGCTTTAATTTTTAAGGTTATGTGCGTTTTAACTATTGTTATTTACATTTTGCCTTAATTTTAGAGGTTATGTTTTTTTAACTTGTGTTTTTGCCATTTGACCTTGAGTTTTGAGGTTATGTTTATCCTTAACCTACACATAAAAAAATGCTAGATTAGAATTACACTCCATCGATGAATTTTACTCATTTGGATTACAATGTCCCAGTTTGTAAATTTAATAATCTCAGAGAGTTTGTTTACATTTGAATGTAATTCTACACATGTGACTTTGTAATTCTAAAGTGCTTTCAAGAATAGTATAAAATTACTGCGACTGACGTTGAAAAAAAGTGACCACGCATCGGGAGCAGTAAATTTACTTCATCTTATAAATTAACATAACCTCTGTAAAATTACACTCCGAATGTAAATTTACTACATACATAATCTTAAAGTTGTTTTTTATTTTTTATATTAATTTCTAATTTTTTTTATATATTACTTAATAACTAGCAATTGAGTATTTTATTTATGTATTTGTAATATGATAAAATGGTATGTTACATAAAGAAAAAAAACACATATTTAACTAAAAAAGACAGAATAAATAAAAAATCAAAAATTTATAAAATATAAAAATCAACTTTTAGGTTATGTAGCCTTTTAACTTTCGGCTTGTAAATTTACAACTTGCTGACTGTTTTTTTACTGCATCCAACGCATGGTAAATTAAGTAAAAGTAAAATTACACTGGCATTTTTTTATTCAGCCTTGAGTTTTAAGGTTATGTTTATTTTTAATTTATTTTTTGATAAATGGCATTGATTTTTGGAGGTTATGTTCGTTTTAACATATGTTTTCGACATTTGGCCTTGAGTTTTAAGGTTATGTTTGTCTTTAACCTATGTTTTTGATATTTGGCTCTGATTTTTGAGGTTATGTTCGTTTTGAACCTATGTTTTTAACATTGTTAGTATAACTACTGGAACCGGCGGCGGCAAGATATTTTTTTATAATATATTGGGATATATTATAATGTATGTGTGTGTGTGTGTAAAATAGGAAAATTCATAGTGTCATTTAGCGTGAGGTAAATTTCATGTGAATCTTCACTTAAACTATATAGTACATATATATAAGTTAAGCGAGAAATAGTTAAGATAACAAAGCGCATTCATCCCATAATTTCAGGAATATTGCTGTGTTAGGAATTGGGAGGATGGAAGAATGATTAAAATAAAGGTGTTTTATTATAAAAATGTTCACTATCACATATAAAAAGAAAGTCAATTTATTTGGTAAAGTATTATCTTTACGACTATATACAACGAGCGTCGGACCCAAACTAAACTTATAATATGAATTATCTATCTTTCCTATGACTCATTCACTATCCTGTGTAAATATATATATACCAAATTTAAACCATATTATAGTCGCACAGGTTTTCTAACATTCTCCCCCCTTTTTGTAATTGAAAAGAAAACAATTAATGATTATCAAACATCTCCCTTTTATATTTTTCTTTCTGTGCGAATATATTCTGGTGCACAATATTAAAATACTTTTAAAAAAAGTCACTCCACATTTATATTTTAACGCTACACAGAACTTCAATACTACACACATACAGGATTTTCGCACATCGTCAATTAAAAAAAATTCATATTAAAATTTTTATTCTTTTTTAATACATTAACCTGTCTGGCAATTTAACAATACGACCACTTCTCGTGGTTATTTCTCTTTCCTTATCCAAACAATCAGTCTCTCTCACACCTTTTACAGTGTTCGTCGTTTGACAATGTTTATTACTATCTTTGTTTCTATTATAAGACAAATTTCTATCATATGATTCTTTTACCTTTCCAGCATTGTCTTGGTGGATCTCAAGCGGATAAATCCTTTGTATTGGTCGTTTGATTGTCCCGTTTTTTGTTTTTAAGATACATGTTCTTATTTTTCCATCTCGCCCATCGATAAAACCGACAATCCGCGCAAGAGGCCAATCTAAACGTTTTTGATTATCGCTTCCTATCAGAACAATGTCATCGATTTTTATATTCCGTTTTTCTTTTTTACTATTTTTGAGTAATAATTGACTAAGATATTCTTGTCTAAAACGTGTTCTCAAATCGTCAAAAATCTTTTTCCGGTAAATTAATTTTTTGTTTAATTTTTTCCCGTCGAGCATATCTAAATCTGGCGTTCCAGATTCTTTTATTTCTTGGAGAAACAACATAGGACTCAAAGGTTTTAAATCATCGCTATTTTCTGACACGTATGTCAGCGGTCGAGAGTTTATAATTATTTCTGCATCGCAGAGAGATGTCATCAAATTCTCGAAGGACAGACAGGCTTTTCCTAACACTTTTCTCAAAATTGTTTTTAAAATTCCAATAAGACGTTCCCACCAACCTCCCCACCAAGGAGCTGAAGGCGGATTAAAACGCCATTTAATTTGCCAAATTTCTGTCCTTTTCAAAATTTTCGACCAATCTAAACCTTCTAACGCATTTGCCGTTCCTACAAAATTTGTCCCGTTGTCACTATATACATATTGTGGTCGTCCTCGTCTCGCGATGAACCTGCGCAAACACTCTACGAACCCCTCAGCTGACAATGATGACGTCAATTCAAAATGTACCGCTCGGTATACTGCGCAAGTAAAAACACATATCCAGCATTTCCCTCCCCCCTTTGAAAAAATCGGTCCCGCAAAATCGACTCCCGTAACTTCGAAAATCGCCGCATCTCTTACACGGTTTTCGGGAAGTGGGGGAGACTCACACTCCATACGTTTTGCTTTTTGTTTCTGACAAATGACGCACTTCGCGATAACTGATCTTATTATCCTTCTCAAGGAGATAATCCAAAATTTTTCACGTAATACATTCATGATAATTTGTGTCCCTGAATGACCGTATCTTTCATGAGTTTCTCTTACCAGCAAATCAACAATCTCGTGTTTATCTAACAAAACTGGACTTAGAAATAAAGCACTATCTTTTCGATTGAAAATTTTTGTTTTCAACACGTACAGACCGTCATCGTTCACATAGGTTCTAAAAGAGGATAATTTATCTTTATTTGTGTCCTTGAACATTAGAGTCTGTAAATGTTTTAACAAATTATTTTCTGCTATTCTTAACTCATTCGTTGATAAATATAATTTTTTGCGATCATCTTTTGACAAATAAATATCCCGTTTCGTATTTCTAATTCTTGAAATCGACTCTTGTTCTTTTTTCTTATTTTCTAAAATCGATCTTCGACTTGATAAAAATCTTCGTACCCAGGCAATAAAACGGATGATTTTATTATAGGAAGAGAAAATATTATTTATTTTAATACTTGACGATTCGTGAGTTAACATATGCACGGTAACGGTTTTTTTAATCTCGCTCTTTACTTCTTTTTCATTTATTATTTCGTCAGCAGAAGGCCAATATCTTTCTGGTTCTCGCAACCACTCAGGTCCCAACCACCATTTACTCGTGAGTAACTGGGAAGGATTACATCCTCGCGACGGTAAATCGGCAGGATTGCTATTGCCCGGTACATATTTCCAATTTCTTAATTCACTCAATGACTTAATTTCTTGCACTCTATTATGGACAAAAACACCCCAATTTTCCTCCCTTTTTAACCATGTCAATACCGTCGTGGAATCGGACCAATAGGTGACACTTTCTACCTCTCTAGTGAACGACTTAATTACTGAGTCTGCGAGCCTCGCTGTTATTGAGGCAGCTAGCAGCTCTAACCGCGGAATGGTCGTTTTCTTTGGAGCGATTCTCGATCTCGCACTTACCAAAAGGACATTGACCCTATTTTTTGACTCCACTCTGGCAAAAACGACTGTGGCGTACGCAGTGCCACTTGCATCTCCAAATGCGTGAATTGTCAAACGACCATCAGGTATTTCGCGCGGAAATTCTATTTCTTTTAATAAATACAACTCATTTGCCCATTGACAAAATTCAACTTTGTATTTCTCATTAATTTCGGAATCCCACTCTACCTTATCCGCCCAAAGTCGTGCTAACAACGTTTTTGGTGTCAAAGTCACCGGACACGTAAAACCGATAGGGTCATAGAGACCATGAGTTACTGATAAAATTATCCTTTTTGTTATAACTTGAGGTATTTCTATTTTTATTATTTCCGGATTGATCGATATTGAATCTTTTTTCTTGTTCCATAAAATACCTAAAACAAGAGTAGTCTCTTTTTCCGTAACATTTCCGGAGTATTCCCACAATCTTAAATCAAACCCCCCCTTAGCTAAAATCTTAGTACCCTCATCAATAAATGTGTGTAATTCCTCAGTAGAATTGACACTTGTTACGCAGTTATCGGCATAAAACGATTTTTTTAATTTGTTTACAGAATTTTTCGACCACGACAATTCATTACTTTTATTAGCTTCTAATAAAGCTTTTTCTAAAAGCAATTCAATTGCCGTTGCTAGAAGGAAAGGACTGCAAGACAAACCGAAGACAACTCGGCAATGTCTATAAACAGTTACTCTGTCCTTCTCTATCCACAAAAATCGAAGAAAATCTCTGTCTTCACTATTAATCCCCATTTGCAAAAAAGCTCTCTTTATGTCCGATATAACTCCAAATTTTCCTTCACGAAATCTATTTATTGAATCAGGTACAAGTTCTATCATATTAGGCCCTGTCTCTAAACACTGATTAAGAGATGGATACCCTTTTTTATGCGCTGATGCATCGAAAACTGGCCTAATCTTGGTCGTACTATTTTCTTTAAAAACCGGTCGATGAGGTAAATAATGACATTCTTGATCTAAGTTCCCTTCTTCTACCTCTTCGATTATCCCTTCTACTAGCCATGATTTTAGTACCTCTCCGTAATCTGATAAAGAACCTTGCTTTTTTAATTTTTCTACAGTGACCTTTAACCTACGTTTTGCAATATCTAAATTGTCTGATAATGGCAAATGATCATCTCTCCACGGTAACTTAAATTCAAAACGACCTTCCTTTGTGATCTTTGCTGTTTCTCTGACAAACGTTTTTGTATTTCTATCGCGCTCAGCTTTGTTTACTTTCTCACTTGGATCGTTAATACCTAATATATCAAGTTTCCACAATTCCGTCAGATCAGCCTCATGCGCAAACATTGTCGTATGTATAGCTACAGGAACGTCAACTTTATTTTGGACCCTGGGCACTTTACCCATAACTGTCCAACCGAGTAAAGTCTCAAAAGCAACTAATCCATTTTCTAAATCAAGTTTATTTCCCGTTAACAATTTTCCCGCTATATCCGCGCCAATAAGAACATCTATCGTTTTTTCATTATTTTCAATATCGGTTAAATTAATATTTTTATTTTTCAATAACTCTAACCACGATTCTTTTTTAACACACGGAATTGTATCACAAATAGTATCTTGTCCTAACACGGAAAAATTGCACGCGTAAGATCCATCAAGACTCTTTAATCTAATTATAAACTTACTATGTTTTTTAATTCTGGATTTCACACCGCCAAACAATGAATGAGCTATTTCAACATCTCCACAAGAATCATAACCCAATTCATAAGCAATATCTACTCTTATATATGATCGCTGTGAAGCTGTATCTATAATGGCTCTGACAATTTTTTCCCGAGAATTTGAAAAAACCTTTACTTTTAATGTTTGCATACATACTTCCGGTGAATGACTAAAAGTGGCTAAACTATTCTCTAAAACTTTTTTCTTTTCTCCTGATTTATCAGACGGAACATCATTTTTTGTGGAGAACCCTGTGCACATCAACAAAGCATGACGTCTACCACACCAGCTACATCTAATCTTACTTTGACAAAACTTAGCCATGTGTCCTCTCTTCATACAAACAAAACAAGCATTCGAACTCTGAACACACTCTTTTCTTTCAGGCAAACTTAACTTTCGCGCAGTCTCACAGTGTTGACTTTCATGCCTACTTTTACAAAATATACATTCTATAATTTTCGCTTCCTTTGTAGTAAGGAGAGCGCTTGCGCTAGCTATATCTTTGACAATTTCTGTCTTACCTTTAACTTTCTTGTTTTTTTCACCTTCGTTTTGAAACTCGAAACCTCGTAGCGCCATGTCGATCCTTTCTTGATTTTCCACTTCACTTTGTAAAAATTCCAATAATTTTGCTAATCGATCCTTGGTTTCCTGTTGACGATTTGCATCGACACTCTCCCGTTGACTACTTCTCTGCCACGCTCGAAGAACTTCCTCTGGCAACGATGACTCAACCAAAGGATACAGCATGGCTGCGCATTTATCAGTCGTAACTCCTAGTGTATCAAGAGCCCGAATGTATGCCTCAAGTTTATCAAAAACACTTGCTAACGTTGCCCTTTGATTTCCCTTCACAGCATTGTGTAAGACCAGTGCTAACAATTCTCGTACGTAGAACTCGACAACCACATCATCCCTTCCAAAACGATTTTTCATACTCGTGATGACCTTTTCATAATTTTCAGCCGTTGGAGGGAAACTGTTTACCAAATCTTGAGCTCTAGAATTTGGTGCAGTGGCTTGCACCAAATATTGAAATTTGTCTTCATTTCTCAGAGCTGGGTCCTCGTGAATCTTCTTAAAAACGCTCCAAAATGGCAACCATTCTTTTATATTGCCGCTAAATTTCGGCAATTCAATTGTTGGTAATTTGAGCGTTTTTCTTACATTTTGTACCACTAGATCCGATGTTGTGCTTGGCGCTCGTTCAATATTAATCTCAACAAGCCTTTTAGCGGACATTTTCGCTCTCAGATATAGCCTCCTATATCCGTCGTCACCTTCAAGTTCCTTTGCAATGGCGTCTTCCGACGCGTCAGACTCGAACAGCAACTTATTATAATCACTATGAACTGCACTCAATTCCGTCATCCGGTCTTCCAACATCTCAAAAGCGACTAATTTGTCTTCCTTGGAACCGTTTCCTTGCATTTCTGCTTCAAATGCATTGTGCGTCCTTGTGAAAGCTGTTCGTAAATTTCGGCGTTGCTTTTTGATAGCGTCCATTTTTAATCACTCCCGACAAACAAACTATCTCACCAATTCACTAACTTTTCAACACAAAAAAATGTCCTGTCACGGTCGCCACAAATGTTAGGAATTGGGAGGATGGAAGAATGATTAAAATAAAGGTGTTTTATTATAAAAATGTTCACTATCACATATAAAAAGAAAGTCAATTTATTTGGTAAAGTATTATCTTTACGACTATATACAACGAGCGTCGGACCCAAACTAAACTTATAATATGAATTATCTATCTTTCCTATGACTCATTCACTATCCTGTGTAAATATATATATACCAAATTTAAACCATATTATAGTCGCACAGGTTTTCTAACATGCTGAGTAGTGTTTCACCTGCAGTTACATGCTTTTAGTTGGACAAAGTTCTGAAACTATAGGAAGCATTGTGTTTATAACCTATTACCAGTTTATCACACTCACATACATACACAAACACAAAACTCAGAATGTATATTTAGCGATTTGAAATTTCCAAAAGTTAGATCTGAAACTGAATAATCATTTTAACTTACGAGCACCGCGGATGTATCATCATTTTACTTTTACTGCAGCTTTGATATTTGCAAAGATATAAATCCCTATTTTGGTTAGAGTATATATGTAAATACATATATACCTATATAGTTTTATCAGACATGCCTCATACCTTGTATGTTATATATATATAACCCTATTGCAATATGCTTTATTTTTCTTTCATTTTCTCGCGAAATGAATGGGATAGAATTCTCTAACAATTATTGTAGGTTTAATTGCTTTTCGCCTAGCTTCTCCCCGCTCTTGTAATAACACGATCTCAGAAGTAGTTGTGAAACTCGAAATCCCTGGAGCTAGAATTTCAAGTGTCTATGTAAGTACTTAACTTATTATGCAATTTAATTGTGTATAGATACACTTGTATAATGGTCGTAGGAACCAGGTGAATGAGAGTCATGTAAATGAGTGAAATATCTCCAAACTTGAATTTTCAAAATAATTATACATGACTATATATATATATATATATACATATACAATATATTCCACAGAATTTATTTATACATAATAATATTTATTTCTGCTCATGAGCTCTGCTCATCAACTCTGCTTTAATATAGATTTAATATTTTTAAAATTAATTATTTTTCTCTCTAAATCTGAATTAGTAAAAATGTTTACTAATTTAAATTATAGTGACTCACTTTTTGCTTTAGAATAAGTTAAATTTTACTAATTGTTAGGAAAAGTTACTAATAAATAGTAAAATGTTCAAAAATAACAAAATGGTGGCCATTTTAATGAACAAATTTTAATTGAAATTACTCAAAAACTCCACTTTTCTTTTCTACCAGAATCGGACACAAATTAAATTCTTATAAAAAAATATTTTTCACGATGAAGACTATCCACAAAAAATTTTGAGCAAAAAAAAAGTTGGGTTTTTTGAGTAATTTCAATTAAAATTTTTTTATTAAAATGGTCCCCATTTTGTTATTTTTGAACATTTTTTAATTTTTCCAACGGATTTTGAAAGAAAAATGAAAGCTCTTTCAAATGCAAAAAGAAAAAAAAAATGAGACATCTAAATCACTTTAAAAGTTATAACGCTTTAAAGTTTTTTTTCCCTACACTGCGAAAAAAAATTTTGTGTTTGCAACAAAATTGTTTGGTTAGGCAATTTTGGTTCTTGTAACCAAATTTTGGTTGGCTGAAACAAAGTCATAGAGTTATCTCAATCAAACATTTGTTTAGGCTAACCAAATTATTTGGTTGAACATTTTTAAATTCCAAACCAAAATTTGGTTACGACAACAAAATAGTTTGGTCTAAAAAACCAAATGATCGTTTGTTTTCTTAAACAAAATTTGGTTGCGACAACCAAATAATTTGATTCGCTCTCAGCTCATAGCTTAAGAGAACAGTTAGTTTAAATCTCTCACAAGGAGATCCACAAATATTTCAATTGAATAAATATAAATTCAATGTTAAATTGATAATAAATAAATAGAGAAATAAATAAAAAAGATAAAAAGAAAAGAAATAAGGTAGAATAAAATTTTTAATTTTACAAAAAAACTGTTTGTTTGATCAACCAAAAATTTTTGTTCACCTAACAAAAAAAATTTGGTTGAGTTAACCAAACATTTTTGTTATGCCAACAAAAAACACTCAACCAAATTTTTTGGTTGACTCAAACAAATAGTTTGGTTGCTTAAATACCAACAAAAATTTTTTGTTGGCTTAACCAAATTTTGGTTGCTCTGACTAAACATTTTTCTCAGTGTAAATTTTATGTAATCGACGTTTCAGTCTGCCTGATTTGAAATGAATTTAGTCTTTAAAAAAAGAGAAATGTTAAACTTCATTTTTTTAAAAATTAACCCTTATTTCTCATATTTGACCACATCCCGTGTAGAAATTTTGTCATGGCCCAAACCGAGGCCAAACCTGGCGTCAATAAAATTGGCATGAAACGCCTTACCCGATTTGGGCTACTACAAGATGAAGCCTCAATTTGTCGCTTTCCAGGTCTGGCCTATATTAGGGGGAGGCGTTTTAAGCCATTTTTCGGCCAAATATGACAATTTTTACACGGAATTGCATTATTCTTTGAAAAAAAATAAATTTTTGTTATTTTTTTTTGAAAAACTGCAATTTTTTCTGCAACGAACTAAAATGTAAATATAAAAATGGAGCAATGAATTTGCAAAAATATATGAAAAACAGTTAGGACAAAAATTGTGTTTCTTTTACATTTCCTCTCAAATCAATTTTTGTCTCATTTTTATATTTACATAGTTTATTGAAAAAAATATCAGTTTTCCAATTAAAACCAAAAAAAAAAAAAAAAAAAAAATTCAAAGGTAGAAAAGGTGTTAAAAATGAAAAATAAGAGTTAATTTTGAAAAAAATTAAAATATTTTTTTCAAAACTTTTTTAGCATTGAAAACTACTATTTACCAAAGTATTAAGCCAATTAAATAACTTTAAATTTTGTTTATCTTTTTTTGTCAGAATATCTCAATACACTGAAAAAAAAATTTATTTGGTTCAAATACCCGATTACTTGACTATTATTACCAAATAAATATTTATTTGTATCAAATAATTATTAGGTATTATTTGAGTCAATTAAATGATATTTGTTTCAAATACAGAAATTATTGGTTCAAATACAATTTATTTAATTCAAATAAAAATTATTTGGTTCAAATAAATATTTATTTGCTGATAGGTACTCAAGTAATCGAGTATTTGAATCAAATAAATTTTGTTTTCAGTGTATATATTATGACGATTATTAATGAGAAACGAGTAATTAAAATATTGAGGTCATCGTGTTAAACCTGACAATTTTTATAAAAGAATTCTCTGGAGTTTCCCCCCTCTCCCCCCCTCCTTCTTCCCGATATGTCACTAAGTTTCGAAAGTTTGAAAATTGATGACACAAGGAGATGAATAAGTCAAAGAATGTTTACATCCTTTCAGATGAAAGGGAATCGCAAATGATTTCCTTTGGAAAAAGTTGGATAAATTGTAATCCTAGGGTGGTATATATACTACGCTTTCATGTGCTCTCGAGAAAATCTCAAGTGATCCATCAAGTGGTTGTCAATTCACAATGGTTTGAAAATCATTTTTTTTTCTCTTCTTATAGGAGAAAAGTTTATCGTTCAAGGTACAACAAGTGTCATATATTCTTCTGTATATAATGAATTTGTTAGATTTTTATATCTAAAATATTAGGCGATTATAAAAAAATATAATTGGTGTAATTTTAATGAAAAATAATTTAGAATAATTTTTTTAATTTAGTACTTTTTTTTAAAGCACTCGAAAAAAAGATTTCTTTGATTCAAAGAAATCAATTTCTTTAACAAATTTTTCTTTGATACAATGAAAATTTATTTGTTTCAAACAAATTATCTTTGCATCAAAAAAAAAAATTATATTCGTTGCAAAGAAATTTTTTATTTAATTAAAATAAATGTTTCTTTGACCCTATATAAATATTAGAATTTCTTTGAATCAAAAAAATGTTCTTTAAAATGAAGAAGCATTTTTTGTTTCAAAGAAAATTTTATTTTGAATAAAAGAAAACAAATCAAAGAAATTGGTTTCTTTAAATCAAAGAAATCTTTTCTCTGGGTGAGGAACAATAAAAACATCAGTTTTGCGGTATAGCTTAAAATTTTAAGAATAAAAAACATGTGTCAATTGTTTCAAAATTTACTATTTGTTAAATTTTATAATTATGTGCTGCTCCACGAGAGAAGGGACTTTGCGTGAAAAAAAATTTTAGGTTATGTTTGTAATTTTTGCAGTAAAAATAAAAAGAGTCAACTCTTAATACAAAAAATTTATTTTTATTCTCCATTATACATTAAAAAAATTCAGTAAAAATTAAATTTTGATTTTGTCAAATTTGAAAAAAATTCTCAAGTTAAAAATATCACTAAACATAACCTATTTTTTTTTTTAACGTAAAATCATTTTATTTCATTCTCAAATACATTTTCGCTGTGAACACGCGGCTACATCAGAACTACAGAAACAAAAATAATAAAATAACTAATAAAAATTGAACACATGATAATAATTATTTTGGTTTTTTATACAGATTTGCTTAAAGTATTATTTTAAAATCGATGTAAAAGAGTTTTTTAGAATAAATATAAAATAAACGTATCATATAACCTCAAAAATGGTACAGAGATATTATTTTCACTTTTTGTCGCATAAAATGGACGAATACATAAAATATAAATTAAAAAGTCTTGTTCGGCATTATTATTATTATTACACAGTATTTTAAAAATTTTAAACAATGACAAACAAGAATTTTTCATTTATATTTTTATGTATTCGTCCATTTTATTATTAAAAAAAAAAATAATACTCTGTACAATTTTTGAGGTTATGATACCTTATTTTATATTTATTTCACATCCATTTCAAAATAATGCGGTAAGCTAATCTATACAAAAAAATTAAAAT